TCGGCTACGTATCTTCGGACCCCCCTTCAAATAACCCTGGATCCGCCCGAAACCCCCTAATCTCAGAATGATTACAAATGTATTGCAGTGGATATTGTGGTTCGTCATTACCATTAAAATGATTGAGGGGTGAGCTTTCATTTTTACAACACGCCCCGGTAGGACGTTGTAGTTTAACTCTTAACGATGTTTAAGTTTGAACTTGATACCTTGTAAATGGGCGTTTGTTCGTAATCCCAATCATTAAGTCTTATTATATTTTAGGTCCAAGCTGGGAAAGGATCGTCCGTTTATTTCCCCATAATTCCATCTGCTCTGGGAAAGATCGACATTCTGGTAAAGGCACAGTCACCAGTTGCAGCTGATGGAGTGCAGAGACAGTTGCTTGTTGAGGTATACCTGAGCCTGTAGGCAGTGCCCATTCTTTATAACCACGAACATAATGTTTAGTGTTTTTTAACCTATAAGTACGATGCCCAGGCAAAATATTTTCCCAGGTCACGATAACCTACCGGTACGTGTAGCTTACACAATGGCTGCCATTTTCGTTTCGTAATTGTGTGCACTTATGTTTAAAATGTACTGGGCAACACGAAATTGCTTCTAATTGTAGATCTGTCCCTGTCTCGACTCTTACTCTTTTGCGCAAACACTCACACACTTCAAAGCACCAAACAGAAGCGCACTTTTTGACAACTCTCACGACATCAGTCGACGTCACTTTTTTTAAGCACAACTCTCATCTAGTTCTTCTCTAACACACTTTTCAAGGCCGAGGGTGTTCCTCAAGAGTACAACCAGGCTGCGATGATCGATTTAACCAGCAAGTCAACGTTTAGCAAGACGTTCCAAATTGAGCTTCCATCCAACCTCGTGCAAGGGACTACTCAGATACAGGCATCTGTCATAGGTAAGAAAAGATGAAAACTGTCATAAATGACGAACATGGCGTGCTAGACTTCAGGATGGTAAAATAAATTATCCAACAAGTGAATCTTTATCTCCCTGCCCAAAACTGTTTAAATGGCGATTAATACAAAACCCTATGACAAAGTGCATCCAGGTATAGTACACGTACAATAAACCGATACAGGTAAATGTCAAGTATTTGGAGACTATAAATGAAAAATATATTATTCATTTGCAGGTGATTTAATGGGACCAGCCATGGCGGACATCGACAGCTTGTTGAAGATGCCATACGGCTGCGGTGAACAGAATATGCTCCACTTTGCTCCCGATGTTTTCATTTCAAAATATCTTACTGAAACAAACCAGTTTGTCGGTGAGATAGAGAGCAAAGCCATTTCATACATGGAGAAAGGTATGTGCCTGTCAGTCTCGGTAAAGTATATTATATTTTGTTGAATCATTGCATGAAACCACAATTTATGTCTTAACCCCTCCTTAACTAAGAGCAATCAATAATAAGTTCTATCCACTTGAATGTTTTAAATATTTAAATCACCGTAGGTCTCTAAAATGACAGTCTATTACAGAATTGTTGTTTATCTATGGTGACTCTTGTAAATTATTCTATAATCCATAAATTTATCTTTTTCTTTTATGCACATATATTATGTTGTGGATCATAAAGGTAACTTTTCGTTGTGAGTAATGCAATGTTCTTCTTCAGGCTACCAGAAGGAACTTACTTACCAACACTATGATGGTTCTTTTAGTGCGTTTGGGAACAGAGATTCTTCTGGCAGCATGTGGTAAGCTGAATTATGTGGGTGCGCGTGTGTGTTACTGTACCTGTGCAAGCGCACGTATGTGTGCGTGTTTGAGTGCGCCTGAATAAGTACATAATCCTTCGTGTGTTTATGTGTTCACTTTGATTCGTGTATATAACCCAAGTGATTTCCTGGTTCTGGAGAGCCGTAACCAGTGAAGGCTTCATATTATATAAGACGTGTTTTCTAAAACTTAGGTGGCTGGTTCTCGACATTAGTGTTTTATTTAAACGGTATTGAAACTAACAGTCAGTTAAGAACAGATGTCCCTTCATGTTAGGTTTTCCATATTTTTATCACTTGAATAAACATCTATTAATGTACAGGTAGATATTATTGGTAAAAACTCGGTTGACAATATTTCAGGCTGACCGCATTTGTTGTGAAATCTTTCCACCAAGCACGTGGCCTCATCTTTATCGATGACGAGCTTCTTACCAAAGCTATCAACTGGATGATTAGAAAGCAGAATATAGATGGGTCCTTCCCAGAACCTGGCCGTGTACTCCATAAGGCAATGCAGGTAAACAAATTGAGATAATTACAGTTAATCAGATAGATGCCAAATTGGTGAATGTGCATTTCTCGTTATAATCACTAAAAATAAGGTATATCCATACCTCATGTTTGCTATAGTATTTTGAATTTCAATGGAAGGAAATGTCGAGATAAACTGGCGAACAGGATCCAGCTTTGTAAGCAAATGCATTCTAATTGTAACTTTAACTGTGTAACCTGGCACAGTTAAAAATATATTTAAACCGTACAGTCTGATATCTACGTTCTTAAATGATTCTCTAATGTATGCCAGATTCACTTCCGTTTTCTAGCAAATATTTGCTATTGTTTACGATGACTTGTGTCTAAGGGCGTATTCCCAGACATTTAGATCGATCTATCCCCGTGGGGAGTCTCACTAGATTACTGTCACATAATCCGGCTTAAATGTCCGTCCCGCCTACTACAAGCTGTAAGGGGGTAATTAACATTCGTGCCCGCTCGGCTGACAGCTATTTAGCGTGATCCCCCAGGGAGTTAGGTCGATCTAGTTTGGATCGATCTAATCTCTGGGAATGGGGTCTAAGTAGGCTACATTTGGTGTTCTAAAGGGGTTTTTTTGAAGAATTATTTTTATGTTGATCACTGTATTAGGTGCATACAACATTTTGAACAACAGATAAAACTATATGATTCATTTATGTTTTAGGGTGGTTCATCGTCAGGCGTGTCTCTGACTGCATATGTTGTGATCGCTCTTCTGGAAAATAAGGACCTGGTTAGTAATATTTAATATTTAATCCTATTGTTATTCAGGTTCATTTTGTAGTATGTAAACGGCATCAATCTCTACTTACCAAATAAATTGAAAACCAAACCCATACAACAAAGAATGAAAACAGCTAAATCTAAGTGTACGAATTATATTTTAGAAAATTCTCTAAGATGACTATACATTAAACAGTTATATATATATATATATATATATATATATATATATATAAATGGATAATCTTGTTGGTAAGTCAAATAAATAAATAAATAAATAAATATATAAATAAACAGAATGATAAATAGATGGTCTTATTTTATATCGATATTTCAGCCTAATTCTCATGGAATCACCTCCGCCACTGCAAGCGCCGTAAGCTACCTTGAGAACCAAGTGACGTCCATGTCGGACCCTTACGGTCTGTCCATTGTCACCTATGCCCTGCAGCTGGCCAACAGTAAGAAGGCGGACGACGCTTTCAAGAAACTAGATGCCTTGGCAACACTGGAAGGCACGTTCTCGTCAATAATCCTGCTTTCGTGAAACAACCCTTTCAGTTGTCTGTTAGCATAAGACAACAAATTATTTTGTGAAGAGTATAATAGTTGCATTATTACCCCAGGTTGACAAAAACAGCTCCTCTTCAGAAAGCAACATTTCTGTAATGCTGTTTTTGTCAACCGTTGTAAATTGTGAAATTATCTAATATCAACCGGGTGCAATCGATAAGTAAGAATATATTTAACCGGTTGCACTCTTGGTGTCTTTCCCATTTTCCAATCGAAACGTGATGTGCAATTTAATTGATCCCACCTAGAACTTTGTAGAAAATACTAAATACGGTGATAACTAATACATATATATATGATATAAATGGTATTTCTCTCCTTTTCAAAGGTGGCTCCAAATACTGGAAGCAGCCCGAAGTCGCCAAGCCGGCGGGGCGCTATAGGAACACCTACGAGAGACAGCCCAAAGCTAACAATGTGGAGATGAGTGCGTACGCTCTCCTTATCTATGCCGAGAGGAAGGACCTAGCAGGAGGATTGCCTGTGCTGAAATGGCTGATCTCCCAGCGCAATGCGCACGGAGGGTTTGCCTCAACTCAGGTAACTTATTCTTCGACCAACGTATTGTACATGAGTGTTCGCGTCAATGCTAGCAAGTTTCCCAAAACTTAATCTATTACACTCGGTTGATATTTATTATTGCCCCACAGGACACGGTGATGGCGATGCAGGCGCTGTCCATGTTTGCTGCTAAGATCTACACTGGCTCGGGTCAGAACATGCAAGTGACCGTGGCCAGCGAGGGCTCTACCAGAACACTGAGCGTTGACAAGACGAATGCCATCATCCTACAAACCTTACCGGTAATTCAAAATTTTTAAATACTTTAACAATTGGTGGTGGTAAACATACTGAGTACTCTTTCCATTTAGTCAAGTTCAAGTTTGCTTATTACACTGCATGATATTTTAGATAAAAGTGGTACAATTGCATTTTAATACTGCGTATTCTGTAATTAGATTTCTCTCTCTCCCTCCCTTTTTCTCTCTCTCCCCCCCCTCTCTCTCTCTCTCATAGCTGAGAGTCTATATATTATTGTTTCTTTCATAGCTCCCAAGCAGTACCAAACAGGTGGCCGTATCGGCAACAGGAAGCGGAATGGCTCTTTTCCAGGTAAGATAACTTATTGTACCAGATAATTATTAACACCAATCTATGATGTTATGTAAGTATTAGACGCCCCGTTGAAATAATGTTTTTTGGCTATTCCTTTTCAAACAAATGTTAGGAATTATATTTGACAGACAGACCAGTCCAACATTAAATAAATTGGTTTAAATGGCAGCAAATGGAATAAGTTTTATTTCAAATCCATTTTCGAGGCTAAATTACCGATAAACTTAGTCCACGAGGTAATGGAAAATACAACATGTTCATTTGATGCAATCAATAATCATTTTGGCATCGATTGATTTATCGTATTGTTAGTCTAGCAGTAGAATGAATAGGCGTGCATATGCAATGGCATCGGTGTAAATGACAAAAAACATATCTGATAACCTTGCAGTACTATAAAAATCAACTCTACGTTAGTATAATTACAAAAGACTTACTTTCACGCTTTTCTCTATAGGTTTCCGTGTCGTATAACATAGATAAGGTGGAGCAAGAGCCGTCCTTTGCTGTGGAAGTCTCCCTGTTGAAGGAGAGCCAGAATAGCCTTACGGTCAAAGTGTGTTCGAGGTACGTACCTTTCATATAAAACCATAATAATCGCCACGATTCAAGTTCAGAGTCTCAGACCAACTTAATGTAGTATTTTGAAGTATCGTTTGTTAGGCCAGAATCAGCACAAAATCGGTTTAAGAATTGTTGTACTTGGATAGCTGGATTTCTGAGATTCTTAGCTAGGGATGAATTTAAGGAACAGAACTTAGGATATTTGACAGCTGATTGTGTTGAAATCTCAATAACACTGAGTGTCTGTTTTCGCAGGTGGCTGGAGAACAGTCCAGCAAGTGGCATGGCGGTGAAAGAGATTGGAATACCTAGTGGATTTGAGGCTGATCTGGAGAGCATTTCACAGCTTTCTACACTGAAGAAGACGGAGAATGCCTTCAGGAAGATAGTGGTTTATCTTGACGAGGTTCGAATGACGCCAATAAAACGCAGTTTTCAATTAGTGTAATTGTGCAATAGAACCGTATATTGCAAAATAATTTCCTGAATAGTTTCAGCAATTTCCCCTTTAGAATGTAACATAACCTATGCAAAACCTTTGAGAAAAATAATGATCTATAAATGTGTTTTCTGGCTCTAAATATCTGAAATTCACCGATATTCATACCCAGAATGACAGACAAATCAAAGTCTGTTTGGGTGCAGATAAAATATAACAGTATGTAAACTTGACTTTTTCAATGAGTTTCTTTAACTTTCACATTTTGAGTTTTGTTTCCAGATTAGCGCCCAGTCAACTTGCATCACCTTCAATGCACAGCGTGTTGCTCAGGTGGCCAAAGCCCAGCCCGTAGCTGTCAGGGTTTACGATTACTATTCCCCAGGTATTCCAATATTTCCTGCTTACAAAAATCTTACCTAAAACTGTTTTGATTGTCAGCTATATTTTCCGATTGGCCGACACATTTTTTTTCTATAAACAATTTCACTTTCATTCTACATTTAATTGGCTCATTGTACCAGATAATTATTAACACCAACTTATGATGTAATCCAATTGTTAGATATCCCCTTGAAATAATATTTTGGATATTCTTTTTTAATAAACGTTGAGGATATTTATTTACGATTTCATATTTTCCTATAAACAATTTCACTTTCATTCTTTATTGATATGATAATTGAAATACGTTTTACTAGATTTTCTACTGTGCAGGAAAATCATGTGTATATATAATTATATTACTCTGGACTTGTGCGATAAAATAATTATGTCATAGATTTTGATTTCTTACAAGGCGTGCCCAATTAATTGACTTAATATTTGCAGATAACCAGATCACCGTCTTCTACCAGTCGAAGGTTTTGACCGACACCACGGTCTGTGACGTCTGTGGCCAGAACTGTGAAATCTGCAAGAAGGTAGGAATGAGTTCGACTGTATTAAAACAATGTAGAGACCCGTTACATATCTGGAGTTAACATTTTAATTTACGATGAAACAATCATCCATGCTGCTAATGCGACTTAGCCATATAATAAAACGGATTTTGCTAGCATTACACCTGTCTTTTATATCGTTTCAGGGCAAGTAGCAGAGAGGAAAAGCAAGCCCCTCGACGGTGACATTGTCTGACAGTGTCGAACTCTGGTACATGCACTGAATGTGCCGAAATGTCTTTATTTAGAATTATGCTTTAGAAATTAAGATTTTAAATGAACATTCAATAGTTTTAATATATACTTTTAATCAGAGAGATCTTGATTAAGTGCATAAGTGGACATAAATAGGTGTGTTTTTTTTTTCGATCAACAGTCCAATTTCATAAAATGTTGCATCAGCATGGTCAAAAAGTTCAATAAAGAAATACATTTGCAATTTTATTCATGTTTTGATTATTTGTAAATCAGTTTGCACATGTGCAGTTTGATATATATGTATATAAATATATATATATATATAATTTAGTTATACACAATGATTTGTCAATAGCAAAATCTGCACCAAAAAGTAGTCTTTTTGTCACAATACAGCGATATTTATTTGGGGCGGGGGAGGAGCGAATACGGTAAATCTCGCGAATATTTTTTCGCACATTATGCAAAAGAATTTTAATTTAATGATAATTTTGAAAAGTTCCGAATGCATCGTACCCATCGAAATTAAAGTATATATATATATATATATATATAAGTACTCCTTGTACATCCCTCTGGACATGTACTTCAAATAAAGGTTGAGTACACAATGGTCAAATTAAAGGACGTCCACATACAAACTTTAACATCATCTATACCGTTAAATGCATGATCATTATAAATTGTACAATGGATGATGAATGTCCAAATATTGCACATAGCCTGCTTGACTACCAGTAAGATTTGTGCCTGGTTTAGGTAATCATAACACTGTCTTTTACTTCACTCTATACATTAGTAAGAAAGTTTATTATGGACTAACCTGTTATTTACAACGTGTCTGTTTTTGCTTGACCACATTAAGATGGGTGTACAATATAAATTCGTCATTTAACCATTTTTATATATAGCATCAACTGAACCCTAGTGCATTCCGATGCATATCGAAGTGTCATTCAAAAAAGAAAGATGTTAGCAGTTTAAGAAGGATATGTGATATGCAATTTACTTTACAGCACGGCCAGTCACTCCGTTCAAAAGTAAACCCTGCGCCACTCTGTCAACATTTGAAAAAAGTGTATAATAGAGGTTGTCACAGCTGTGCCAACATGCTATTGTTTGTTTCTTTGTTACTTAAAAAAGCGTTTTGTTTGAAATTGATCAGTAGATGGTATACGGTCAGATGTTTACCCCACGTTTGTTCCATCTTTTGTGTGTTTTGAATGGTACGTTGACACTGTATGGGGCCCTCTCCTTTCAATATTGCACAGTATAACTTCTATACATCCAATACATTCTATACAAGTCCAAATTCATTTTGTTAGGAATGGGTATGCGATTGACTTGCTTACTACTATACTTGGATAGGGGTGTTGCATACTTGTTAGATTTGCAGTATAGATGTGGATCACAGTTGTTTAATATGTATTCATGCTCGTCGCATTATTATTGCATTAAATTCTTGATTTTTTTCACACGGCTCCAAAATTTCTTCCACACATTCTGCATCAAACCGTTAACTTGCTATCTCAAAATATAATTCTTTTCCGGTGCTGATTGTATAATTATAAAAACCAATTCGATAGCAAATGTTTTGTAAAGTACAACATTTTTGGACGCATAATTCAGTCACTGCCATGGGCAATGGACTGGAATTGTACTAAAAATGGAAGAGGTTGACACAGGGTCGCCCTTTGAAATGCACACCAAGAAAGAACGAGTAGTTATGTTACATGTTTCCACTTGCGTAGAGGAAGATTCGTAGCATTTAAACAGATTCAGCATTTTAATTTTAAAAGGTAAGACAGTATAACCATCCTAACGATTTATATGACACCAATCAATTCATTAAATATCCACAGTATCCAGGGATTATGAAAGCATTTTATTATAGTGACCAAATTGAATCGATTTTTTATTAACTCACAAGTTAGAAAAATACTTGCATTAATCAATTTAAGGAAATGTTGTTCTCTGTTGAGCATATATCTTTTACCATTAGTGCTCGGTTCGCCTGTATTATCCTCTCATTTTATTTGATAATTTAACGAACGCAGTTTGATCCCACATGTTGGAGTTTACATGCAGGTATAGTGTTTTTACAATCGTGCCGTACAGTGTGTGTGTGTGTGTGTGTGTGTGTGTGTGTGTGTGTGTGTGTTATGTGCAAACAATGCACGAGTATTTAAATCGAATAATTTAAACTGAATTTCTGATAACCTGTCTGCACCTTAGAATGCTATAAACGTCATATGACCTGAAGCACTATAGGTACACAATGCCCTGTACGTATATACGACTTGCATTATTCGAAAGGTGCGATGTGCGCATGACCGGAATTGTGCACTGCAGGGGTTAAAATAGTACCGGAAGCGTTGTTGACAGCGACAGGAACACATGATGGAAGCATAAGACATGCCGGGGGCGATATTAAACAAGCCATTTGAGGCGACAAAGGTGCCGGAGTTGAAAAGTTGGTTAAAATGAAGGATGCCCACACATCAGGCAAAAAAGAAGAGCTGATAAAAAGGTATGTTACACGATATTTTCTTAAATACAAGACCAAATACAAAACCCTAATGTGGTCATTATGTAATTATGTTCACCTGAGTCATTTATTGGGGAGATAAATTTGTCACCTGGTTCAGGCAATTATCTGATACAATCTCTGAGGTGGGCTAGTGCACTGTACAGGTAATTAGTACAAGCTCACTGTCAATATCAGTGCATCTATTATTTGTTTCTTCTTCATAATATTTCTGTTTTGTATCCAGGTAGATTTCGGTTAAAAAAATATGACTAGGCATGTCAGTTTTCTGTTTTGTCATCAGTCTAATATGTATGTAGGCCTATGTAAATTAATCACTGTTATAGATGTGTTGATGATGACTTTAATAATTATTTTCATGACAATTTTTTACTTGTTTTATAGGTGTAAACTGTACAGTGAGGATAGAGAGAGAAACAAAATATTGGATCCAGACGGCAGAGAAAATTAGAAGTAGGCCTACCAGATTGAAGTTTGAATCAAGACAGTGGAGAATGGACCAAGTCCTCGAAGGGAATGCCCAAACCGTTTTTTTTTTTTAATATTTGCCTATTAATAAATACAGATCAATATTTCGTCTCACAATTTTATTTTGCATAATAAAATCAATGATGTTGCCTTGGAAATATCTTTCCAAGGTACCTTACGATATTTCACTGATCCATGTTTTAAAATGCAATGTTTTAAACATTTTCTAGATATGTTCAAGTGCATTGTGATAATAAAAATGAGATATTTGGTAAAATTGTTCTCTTTTTTGTTATTTGCATAAGTAATATACGATTCAATACTCCTTCACTGTCAGGTTTAAACCTGGTTTTAGTTTTACTCGGGTCTAAGCAATGGCGATAACAATACTCTAAAACCAAAGTAAAACTAAAACCAGCTTTAACCTTGCTGAGAAATCAAACCAAAGTTTCACATGACAGTTTTCATGCCATTTTTTTTATACTGAGGTAATGTCATGGTATAAAAAGTCATGAAATGTTTTAATTCCTCGTAGGTTTCAAGACCGATGTAAAATTTAACCATTTCAGGTTTGTTGTGCATAGACTTTATGCTGAAAGTGTGTTTGTCAACTTCCTCATGTGCTTCGGACAGTTGTTCCAGCATTTTTTCTCTGTCAC